GCTTATCCCATAATTATTCACCGAAGTTCTTGCAATCCTTGTTCTTGTTCTCAAAATTCAGCTAAAGTATTAGTGGGCGGTAAGTTCTGCACAAGAAGGCACTGCACAAACTGTTCTGGCGAACGTATAAGGAAGCTTTTAGCAAAAGGATATAGCCATTTCCTACAAAGCTGTAAAAGATGAAAAGTTTTGATCAATCATGAAGAGGAAGAAGTTGTTTTTTATACCCCGCTCTTCGCTATCCAAAGGAGTCTCAGAGAGGCTTACAATCTCCTTTCCCTTCCCCTCCCCACAACAGACACCCTGGGAGGTAGGTGGGGCTGAGAGAGCTCTTTCGAGGACTGCCCTTGAGAGAACAGCTCTGAGAGGACTTGTGACTGGCCCAAAGTCACACCAGCAGCTGCATGTGGAGGAGTGGGGAAGCAAACCCGGTTCTTCCAGATTAGACTCCGCACTCCTAGACACTATAGCAAACTGGCTCTCAGTTGATGTTGCCTCCTGGCTCTTCTGGGATTCAGAGGTTTAGTGCCCCTGAATGTGGAGGTTCTCTTCAGCCACCCTGACTAGTAGCCACTGATGGACTGATCCTCTACGAATCTCTGTCATCCCCTTTTAAAGCTGCCTCTTCCTGCGGCCCTCACGACATCCTCTGGCAGCGAATCCCACTCTAGTGTCTCAGGCTGGCCTACCTCACAGGGCTGTCGTCCAGAAGACAAAGCAGAACGAAAAGAAAACTTATTTCAAAGAAACATGTACATTCCCTTGAGCTTCCTGGAAAAAGGAATTATTTAAAAAACATAATATATTAAAAAAGGGAGTTCTCACTGCTGTACGACGCCGCAGAGCCGCAGGGTCGCCTCCCGCCGCTGTTGGCACCGAGACTCCATCGCGCGCCCCGGCAGTCAAACCCCCGCCTGCGCATGCGCAGCCGCGCCTCCCCCGACCGCGACAACCGAACGACGCGCCAGAACTTCTTTAATTCCTCCACTGAGAATCCATCCGCCGGAGTGAGAAGGCCCGCCTCCGCCCTGCTAGTAAAGAATAATCCCTGTCTTTCCCGAAGCGGCCCGGCGCGAAGGGCTCGGAACGGGGCGGGGTTTCCCTCAGACGAGACAGGGGGAGAGGCGTGAATCGACCCCGAGGGGGCGACGGGCGGCTCCCTCGGGCGCCGGCAGAGGAGGCGGGGCTCCCCCGTCGGAGGAAGGCGACGTGGGAAAAGCGAGAAGCGGTGACGAGTCCTTCCTTTTCCGGCTGGGCCGAGGCGGAGGGAGAAGGCAGCGTGAGGGGCTCCTCCGCTGGTCGCCGCCATCATGGTGAGAGGCCGGAGCGGGCCTGCGGGACAGGCCGGGGGGGGGGGGCCGCGAAGGGCCACGGCGGTCAGGTCCGAGGCGGGG